CTTTCTTGACTTCCTCTTGTACGTCGCTTGGTCCAACTGAGTCTCGCACTGTTCCGCCTTGATCTCACCGCTGACGACCTCCCATAGGTCCCGTTCCTCCAGCACCATCTGCATCTTGAACTTCCAGGCGTGGAAGTTAGTTCCATCGAACTTGGAGATGCGGAGGGAGGAGGCGTCCATGGCAGCTAAGCTTGAATTGTTGGCGGTTTCAGAGTCTGACGAACTTGGGCTCATAACCTGATGAACTTTAGACTTCTTGGTCCGAGTGCAAAACGCAAAGTGAATATATATTTATAATAGGTACTTAGTTCGCAACTTTGAATACTACCTCTAAGCCTATTATTCGCAGTGACGTCATCCAGTGACGTCACCCACTGACGTCACCCACTGACATCATGCAATGACGTCATCCAGTGACGTCATTTCCTGACTTCGCCCTTACTGGTACATACCGGTACCCACCGGTATAGCGAAGCTTGGTCTTCCACTTGCTTCAACACTTGACGCAGCTTGACGAGGTGTCTTCTTCACAGCCGCTGTCTTTTCAACAAGAAGTCCTGGCCGTGCCACAATTGCGGAAAGATTGGTCACTGGATGGCGGAGTGCCCCTCGCGCATCCAAGAAAACACGGAGAGACACTGGCCACAGCGTGCTCAAGACAGCGGCGACCGCTATCGATCACAACGTGCAAACGTCGCTCAAGAAGAAGACTCGGGCGACTACCTCTTTTCGATCGGTGAAACGACATCTGCAAAATCGAGCGACATCTGGCTGGTCGACTCCGGGGCGACGCAGCACATGACGTGCTCCAAGAAGTTCATGCGGAACTACAAGGGGTTTGACGCTGTGGATGTCCATCTCGCGGATGATGGAATCGTCCAAGCAATCGGCAGTGGGGACATTGTCATGTCGATGAAGACACCCCAAGGGATGAAGAAAGGTGTGCTCACAAACGTGTGGCACATCCCAAAGTTATCCAGAAACCTGTTCTCGGTCGGCCGCTTCACCAAGGATGTCGGCCCAGTGACGTTCACGAAGGATGGGTGCTATGGAAAAGCGAAAGGGACCAAGTGGAAAATTGGCGCCCGTGAAGGTAAAGGACTGTTCAAGCTGCAAATGACTCCAGTGGCGCCGGAACAAGCAAATGCAGCCAAGTCGTCGGGATGTCAAGGGGGCACCAAGTCGTACCTCTGGCACCTTCGGCTTGGCCACATAGGTCACGATGGACTCAATTGCATCGTGACGAAGAACATTGGAATTGGCATCGACATATCTTCGGTGAAGAAGTGGGACGTGTGTGAAGGTTGTGCTCTGGGAAAACAGACTCGAGTGCGCTTCCAATCAAACACTACAGCTCGCACCTCCAAACTCCTCGAAGTGATTCACAGCGACGTATGCGGACCGATGTCGATGGCAACTTTCAGTGGAAAACGGTACTTCGTGACATTCATCGATGACAAGTCAAGATACTGTGTCGTCTATCTGCTCAAGAGCAAATCTGAAGTTGCGGCGAAGCTCATGGAATACGCTGCGATGGCCGAAACGCAAACCGGAAAGCGCGTGAAGTACCTTCAAAGCGACAATGGGGGTGAATACAAGTCCGACAAGCTGGCACGATTCTGCGCGGAACGGGGAATACAACAAAGGTTCACACTGATGAACTTTAGACTTCTTGGTCCGAGTGCAAAACGCAAAGTGAATATATATTTATAATAGGTACTTAGTTCGCAACTTTGAATACTACCTCTAAGCCTATTATTCGCAGTGACGTCATCCAGTGACGTCACCCACTGACGTCACCCACTGACGTCATGCAATGACGTCATCCAGTGACGTCATTTCCTGACTTCGCCCTTACTGGTACATACCGGTACCCACCGGTATAGCGAGGCTTGGTCTTCCACTTGCTTCAACACTTGACGCAGCTTGACGAGGTGTCTTCTTTACAGCCGCTGTCTTTTCAACACTCCCTCTCGACTCGTTAGCTGCGGCACCTTGGATCCCAAGTCGATCGCGAATGTTTTCAAATTGTACAGCGGCGATCGGCTTGGTCATCATGTCTGCCAGCATATCTTGAGTCGGGCAATACTCCAAAACGACTTCACCTGATTCCACCTTCTCACGCACAAAATGGTAGCGTATGTCGATGTGTTTTGTTCTCTTATGGAACTCCGGGTTCTTGGCGAGAGCGATTGATCCTTGGTTGTCTTCATACATCTTGATCGCTTCGTCGCTTGTCATCTCACCAAGTTCCCCCAAAAGCACCTTGAGCCATACTGCTTCTTTGGTTGCTTCGGAAAGCGCCATGTATTCTGCTTCTGTTGAAGATAGCGCGACCGTCCGTTGTTTCTGGCTTTTCCAGCTGATGCATCCTCCGCTCACCATGAACACATAGCCGCTTGTACTTCGTCTTGACTCAATGTCGCCGGCCCAGTCTGCGTCGGTGTACCCGCAGATACGGCTTCCTTCTTCACGTGTAAACTCAAGACCATGATTGGGCGTTGCTTGCAGGTATCTCAGCACACGCTTCAAAGCTTGCCAGTGAGTCGGGCATGGGTCGGACGAGAACTGGGATAATGATCCCACTGCAGCAGCTAGATCCGGACGTGTGGCGACCATGAGATACATGATGCCTCCGACAGCACTTCGATATGGCACGTTGCACATGGTGTCTTCGTGCTTGCATTCTTGTTCACACATGTTCTTGGTTAGCTTCAGGCCGGGATCTTGAGGCGTCTTCACTGGCTTGCTGTTATCCATTCCGAACTTGGTTAACACGGACTTGAGAAACTTGGTTTGTTGCACAGTCACCATTCCCGTCTTACGGTCGTTCTTGATCTCCATGCCGAGAAAGTAATCGAGCTCACCGAGATCCGTCATTTCGAAGCGTTTGCTCAGCGCCATCTTGGTTGACTTGAGGAGTTCGTTGTTGCTGCTGGCCAGGATGAGATCATCGACGTAGAGTACCACGAGAATCATGTCTTGGTCGTCTCGCTTGATGTAGATGCAGTGGTCCGATTCGCACTTCTTGAATCCCATCTTGATCATGAACCCATCGATTGTTTGGTTCCACATGCGAGGCGATTGCTTCAAGCCGTAGAGTGATCTCTTTAGCTTGCACACATAGTCCGGCTGTGTTGCATCCAGGTATCCGTCCGGCTGGTCCATGTAGATGTCTTCGTTGAGGGAGCCGTTAAGAAACGCTGTCTTGACGTCCATCTGATGTAGCATTAGGCCGTACTTAGCCGCCATACTGAGCACCACACGAATCGATGTGAACTTGGCCACCGGTGCGAAAGTTTCTTCATAGTCAACTCCGAATTTCTGTGAGAATCCTTTGGCCACAAGTCTTGCCTTGAAACGTTCAACTTCGCCATCTTGATTCTCCTTCACACGAAAAACCCATCGGCACCCGATGGCCTTGCGACCTTTCGGAAGAGGCACGATTTCCCACGTGTCGTTTCTCTGAAGCGAGTCGAACTCCGAGTCACACGCTTCTTTCCACTTGCCGGAGTCGCTTGATTCCATCGCCGACTTGAATGTAGTCGGCTTTTCCCCCACTGAATCAACGATGTAGGCTGCTTCAAAATCCATTGCAGCCGCTGACACATGCTCAAGCGACGGACCTCTGTATGTTCTTCGCTTGGGACTTGGAATGACGGTAGCTTTCTCAAGTGATTGAGTGCGCGTGTGTCTCTTGATGTTGCTCTTCGAAGACCTGGTGTCTTCGTTGTCATCGTCGCTCGAGTCCATGTCGTCGTCAGTTTTACCTTCTTCTTTTTCTTCGTCCTCATCATGATCATCAAACTCAACGACACTTGACTCATCGTTGTAGTTGCGCGGACCTTCATCAAACTTGTCTTCCATGAATGTGGCATCGCGACTGATCTTGATCGCTCCTGTTGACACTTCCTCAAATCGATATGACTTCTGGTGTTCGGCGTATCCCAGGAAACGACAGAGTGATGACTTGGAGTCGAACTTCGCGCGTTTGTCTTGAGGCACTTGAACATACGCGTGGCATCCAAACACTTTAAGGTTGGCCAGAATCGGTTTCTTCATCGTCCACACTTGATATGGAGACTTGTCTTGGTGAATGGCACGTGTTGGACAGCGGTTTCGAAGAAACATCGCCGTCATCACTGCTTCACCCCAGTAGCTCTTTCCCAGTCCAGCGTGTTCCATCATGCAACGCGCACACTCGACCAGCGTGCGATTCATTCTCTCAGCTACTCCGTTTAGCTGAGGAGTATATGGGGGTGTGAACCTTTGTTGTATTCCCCGTTCCGCGCAGAATCGTGCCAGCTTGTCGGACTTGTATTCACCCCCATTGTCGCTTTGAAGGTACTTCACGCGCTTTCCGGTTTGCGTTTCGGCCATCGCAGCGTATTCCATGAACTTCGCCGCAACTTCAGATTTGCTCTTGAGCAGATAGACGACACAGTATCTTGACTTGTCATCAATGAATGTCACGAAGTACCGTTTTCCACTGAAAGTTGCCATCGACATCGGTCCGCATACGTCGCTGTGAATCACTTCGAGGAGTTTGGAGGTGCGAGCTGTAGTGTTTGATTGGAAGCGCACTCGAGTCTGTTTTCCCAGAGCACAACCTTCACACACGTCCCACTTCTTCACCGAAGATATGTCGATGCAAATTCCAATGTTCTTCGTCACGATGCAATTGAGTCCATCGTGACCTATGTGGCCAAGCCGAAGGTGCCAGAGGTACGACTTGGTGCCCCCTTGACATCCCGACGACTTGGCTGCATTTGCTTGTTCCGGCGCCACTGGAGTCATTTGTGATGAACTTTAGACTTCTTGGTCCGAGTGCAAAACGCAAAGTAAATATATATTTATAATAGGTACTTAGTTCGCAACTTTGAATACTACCTCTAAGCCTATTATTCGCAGTGACGTCATCCAGTGACGTCACCCACTGACGTCACCCACTGACGTCATGCAATGACGTCATCCAGTGACGTCATTTCCTGACTTCGCCCTTACTGGTACATACCGGTACCCACCGGTATAGCGAAGCTTGGTCTTCCACTTGCTTCAACACTTGACGCAGCTTGACGAGGTGTCTTCTTCACAGCTGCTGTCTTTTCAACACTCCCTCTCGACTCGTTAGCTGCGGCACCTTGGATCCCAAGTCGATCGCGAATGTTTTCAAATTGTACAGCGGCGATCGGCTTGGTCATCATGTCTGCCAGCATATCTTGAGTCGGGCAATACTCCAAAACGACTTCACCTGATTCCACCTTCTCACGCACAAAATGGTAGCGTATGTCGATGTGTTTTGTTCTCTTATGGAACTCCGGGTTCTTGGCGAGAGCGATTGATCCTTGGTTGTCTTCATACATCTTGATCGCTTCGTCGCTTGTCATCTCACCAAGTTCCCCCAAAAGCACTTTGAGCCATACTGCTTCTTTGGTTGCTTCGGAAAGCGCCATGTATTCTGCTTCTGTTGAAGATAGCGCGACCGTCCGTTGTTTCTGGCTTTTCCAGCTGATGCATCCTCCGCTCATCATGAACACATATCCGCTTGTACTTCGTCTTGACTCAATGTCGCCGGCCCAGTCTGCGTCGGTGTACCCGCAGATACGGCTTCCTTCTTCACGTGTAAACTCAAGACCATGATTGGGCGTTGCTTGCAGGTATCTCAGCACACGCTTCAAAGCTTGCCAGTGAGTCGGGCATGGGTCGGACGAGAACTGGGATAATGATCCCACTGCAGCAGCTAGATCCGGACGTGTGGCGACCATGAGATACATGATGCCTCCGACAGCACTTCGATATGGCACGTTGCACATGGTGTCTTCGTGCTTGCATTCTTGTTCACACATGTTCTTGGTTAGCTTCAGGCCGGGATCTTGAGGCGTCTTCACTGGCTTGCTGTTATCCATTCCGAACTTGGTTAACACGGACTTGAGAAACTTGGTTTGTTGCACAGTCACCATTCCCGTCTTACGGTCGTTCTTGATCTCCATGCCGAGAAAGTAATCGAGCTCACCGAGATCCGTCATTTCGAAGCGTTTGCTCAGCGCCATCTTGGTCGACTTGAGGAGTTCGTTGTTGCTGCTGGCCAGGATGAGATCATCGACGTAGAGCACCACGAGAATCATGTCTTGGTCGTCTCGCTTGATGTAGATGCAGTGGTCCGATTCGCACTTCTTGAATCCCATCTTGATCATGAACCCATCGATTGTTTGGTTCCACATGCGAGGCGATTGCTTCAAGCCGTAGAGTGATCTCTTTAGCTTGCACACATAGTCCGGCTGTGTTGCATCCAGGTATCCGTCCGGCTGGTCCATGTAGATGTCTTCGTTGAGGGAGCCGTTAAGAAACGCTGTCTTGACGTCCATCTGATGTAGCATTAGGCCGTACTTGGCCGCCATACTGAGCACCACACGAATCGATGTGAACTTGGCCACCGGTGCGAAAGTTTCTTCATAGTCAACTCCGAATTTCTGTGAGAATCCTTTGGCCACAAGTCTTGCCTTGAAACGTTCAACTTCGCCATCTTGATTCTCCTTTACACGAAAAACCCATCGGCACCCGATGGCCTTGCGACCTTTCGGAAGAGGCACGATTTCCCACGTGTCGTTTCTCTGAAGCGAATCGAACTCCGAGTCACACGCTTCTTTCCACTTGCCGGAGTCGCTTGATTCCATCGCCGACTTGAATGTAGTCGGCGTTTCCCCACTGAATCAACGATGTAGGCTGCTTCAAAATCCATTGCAGCCGCTGACACATGCTCAAGCGACGGACCTCTGTATGTTCTTCGCTTGGGACTTGGAATGACGGTAGCTTTCTCAAGTGATTGAGTGCGCGTGTGTCTCTTGATGTTGCTCTTCGAAGACCTGGTGTCTTCGTTGTCATCGTCGCTCGAGTCCATGTCGTCGTCAGTTTTACCTTCTTCTTTTTCTTCGTCCTCGTCATGATCATCAAACTCAACGACACTTGACTCATCGTTGTAGTTGCGCGGACCTTCATCAAACTTGTCTTCCATGAATGTGGCATCGCGACTGATCTTGATCGCTCCTGTTGACACTTCCTCAAATCGATATGACTTCTGGTGTTCGGCGTATCCCAGGAAACGACATAGTGATGACTTGGAGTCGAACTTCGCGCGTTTGTCTTGAGGCACTTGAACATACGCGTGGCATCCAAACACTTTAAGGTTGGCCAGAATCGGTTTCTTCATCGTCCACACTTGATATGGAGACTTGTCTTGGTGAATGGCACGTGTTGGACAGCGGTTTCGAAGAAACATCGCCGTCATCACTGCTTCACCCCAGTAGCTCTTTCCCAGTCCATCGTGTTCCATCATGCAACGCGCACACTCGACCAGCGTGCGATTCATTCTCTCAGCTACTCCGTTTAGCTGAGGAGTATATGGGGGTGTGAACCTTTGTTGTATTCCCCGTTCCGCGCAGAATCGTGCCAGCTTGTCGGACTTGTATTCACCCCCATTGTCGCTTTGAAGGTACTTCACGCGCTTTCCGGTTTGCGTTTCGGCCATCGCAGCGTATTCCATGAACTTCGCCGCAACTTCAGATTTGCTCTTGAGCAGATAGACGACACAGTATCTTGACTTGTCATCAATGAATGTCACGAAGTACCGTTTTCCACTGAAAGTTGCCATCGACATCGGTCCGCATACGTCGCTGTGAATCACTTCGAGGAGTTTGGAGGTGCGAGCTGTAGTGTTTGATTGGAAGCGCACTCGAGTCTGTTTTCCCAGAGCACAACCTTCACACACGTCCCACTTCTTCACCGAAGATATGTCGATGCCAATTCCAATGTTCTTCGTCACGATGCAATTGAGTCCATCGTGACCTATGTGGCCAAGCCGAAGGTGCCAGAGGTACGACTTGGTGCCCCCTTGACATCCCGACGACTTGGCTGCATTTGCTTGTTCCGGCGCCACTGGAGTCATTTGCAGCTTGAACAGTCCTTTACCTTCACGGGCACCAATTTTCCACTTGGTCCCTTTCGCTTCTCCATAGCACCCATCCTTCGTGAACGTCACTGGGCCGACATCCTTGGTGAAGCGGCCGACCGAGAACAGGTTTCTGGATAACTTTGGGATGTGCCACACGTTTGTGAGCACACCTTTCTTCATCCCTTGGGGTGTCTTCATCGACATGACAATGTCCCCACTGCCGATTGCTTGGACGATTCCATCATCCGCGAGATGGACATCCACAGCGTCAAACCCCTTGTAGTTCCGCATGAACTTCTTGGAGCACGTCATGTGCTGCGTCGCCCCGGAGTCGACCAGCCAGATGTCGCTCGATTTCGCAGATGTCGTTTCACCGATCGAAAGAGGTAGTCGCCCGAGTCTTCTTCTTGAGCGACGTTTGCACGTTGTGATCGATAGCGGTCGCCGCTGTCTTGAGCACGCTGTGGCCGGTGTCTCTCCGTGTTTTCTTGGATGCGCGAGGGCACTCCGCCATCCAGTGACCAATCTTTCCGCAATTGTGGCACGGCCAGGACTTCTTCACTGGTCGCCCTTTGCGCTGATTGTCCCTTGTGATGAACGCTTGACCTTGCGAAGCTTCATCACCTTTACTTCCTTGCTCCTTCCGCTTCATTTCTTCATGAAGCAGTCGAGACGTCACGAGCTCCCAGCTAAGAGTGTCTGAGCGCGACTCCAAAGCTGTGATCAAGAATTGATACGAGTCACTCAGGCTGCCGAGGAGTGTGATCACCAGATCGTCCTCGCAGACTGGAGCCCCCACCGCTTCTAGCTGTTCCGCCAGCGTCTTGAGCTTGTTGATGTGTTCGAGCACATCGTCGCCTTCTTCCATCATTGTCGTGAAGAAGCGACGGCGCAAGAACAGCTTGTTGGCAAGACTCTTCTTCTCGAAGTGGTCTTCCAACCTTGACCATGCGTCGCATGCACCACTTGCCGACCGGACCAACGGTAGCTGGGAATCTTCCATGGCTAGACAGATCACTGCCATCGCCTTTCTTGACTTCCTCTTGTACGTCGCTTGGTCCAACTGAGTCTCGCACTGTTCTGCCTTGATCTCACCGCTGACGACCTCCCATAGGTCCCGTTCCTCCAGCACCATCTGCATCTTGAACTTCCAGGCGTGGAAGTTAGTTCCATCGAACTTGGAGATGCGGAGGGAGGAGGCGTCCATGGCAGCTAAGCTTGAATTGTTGGCGGTTTCAGAGTCTGACGAACTTGGGCTCATAACCTGAAACCGCCAACAATTCAAGCTTAGCTGCCATGGACGCCTCCTCCCTCCGCATCTCCAAGTTCGATGGAACTAACTTCTGTTGAAAAGACAGCGGCTGTGAAGAAGACACCTCGTCAAGCTGCGTCAAGTGTTGAAGCAAGTGGAAGACCAAGCTTCGCTATACCGGTGGGTACCGGTATGTACCAGTAAGGGCGAAGTCAGGAAATGACGTCACTGGATGACGTCATTGCATGACGTCAGTGGGTGACGTCAGTGGGTGACGTCACTGGATGACGTCACTGCGAATAATAGGCTTAGAGGTAGTATTCAAAGTTGCGAACTAAGTACCTATTATAAATATATATTCACTTTGCGTTTTGCACTCGGACCAAGAAGTCTAAAGTTCATCAGGTTATGAGCCCAAGTTCGTCAGACTCTGAAACCGCCAACAATTCAAGCTTAGCTGCCATGGACGCCTCCTCCCTCCGCATCTCCAAGTTCGATGGAACTAACTTCCACGCCTGGAAGTTCAAGATGCAGATGGTGCTGGAGGAACGGGACCTATGGGAGGTCGTCAGCGGTGAGATCAAGGCGGAACAGTGCGAGACTCAGTTGGACCAAGCGACGTACAAGAGGAAGTCAAGAAAGGCGATGGCAGTGATCTGTCTAGCCATGGAAGATTCCCAGCTACCGTTGGTCCGGTCGGCAAGTGGTGCATGCGACGCATGGTCAAGGTTGGAAGACCACTTCGAGAAGAAGAGTCTTGCCAACAAGCTGTTCTTGCGCCGTCGCTTCTTCACGACAATGATGGAAGAAGGCGACGATGTGCTCGAACACATCAACAAGCTCAAGACGCTGGCGGAACAGCTAGAAGCGGTGGGGGCTCCAGTCTGCGAGGACGATCTGGTGATCACACTCCTCGGCAGCCTGAGTGACTCGTATCAATTCTTGATCACAGCTTTGGAGTCGCGCTCAGACACTCTTAGCTGGGAGCTCGTGACGTCTCGACTGCTTCATGAAGAAATGAAGCGGAAGGAGCAAGGAAGTAAAGGTGATGAAGCTTCGCAAGGTCAAGCGTTCATCACAAGGGACAATCAGCGCAAAGGGCGACCAGTGAAGAAGTCCTGGCCGTGCCACAATTGCGGAAAGATTGGTCACTGGATGGCGGAGTGCCCCTCGCGCATCCAAGAAAACACGGAGAGACACCGGCCACAGCGTGCTCAAGACAGCGGCGACCGCTATCGATCACAACGTGCAAACGTCGCTCAAGAAGAAGACTCGGGCGACTACCTCTTTTCGATCGGTGAAACGACATCTGCGAAATCGAGGGACATCTGGCTGGTCGACTCCGGGGCGACGCAGCACATGACGTGCTCCAAGAAGTTCATGCGGAACTACAAGGGGTTTGACGCTGTGGATGTCCATCTCGCGGATGATGGAATCGTCCAAGCAATCGGCAGTGGGGACATTGTCATGTCGATGAAGACACCCCAAGGGATGAAGAAAGGTGTGCTCACAAACGTGTGGCACATCCCAAAGTTATCCAGAAACCTGTTCTCGGTCGGCCGCTTCATCAAGGATGTCGGCCCAGTGACGTTCACGAAGGATGGGTGCTGTGGAGAAGCGAAAGGGACCAAGTGGAAAATTGGTGCCCGTGAAGGTAAAGGACTGTTCAAGCTGCAAATGACTCCAGTGGCGCCGGAACAAGCAAATGCAGCCAAGTCGTCGGGATGTCAAGGGGGCACCAAGTCGTACCTCTGGCACCTTCGGCTTGGCCACATAGGTCACGATGGACTCAATTGCATCGTGACGAAGAACATTGGAATTGGCATCGACATATCTTCGGTGAAGAAGTGGGACGTGTGTGAAGGTTGTGCTCTGGGAAAACAGACTCGAGTGCGCTTCCAATCAAACACTACAGCTCGCACCTCCAAACTCCTCGAAGTGATTCACAGCGACGTATGCGGACCGATGTCGATAGGCAGGGGCTTTCAGTGGAAAACGGTACTTCGTGACATTCATTGATGACAAGTCAAGATACTGTGTCGTCTATCTGCTCAAGAGCAAATCTGAAGTTGCGGCGAGGTTCATGGAATACGCTGCGATGGCCGAAACGCAAACCGGAAAGCGCGTGAAGTACCTTCAAAGCGACAATGGGGGTGAATACAAGTCCGACAAGCTGGCACGATTCTGCGCGGAACCCAGGGGAATACAACAAAGGTTCACACCCCCATATAAACTCCTCAGCTAAACGGAGTAGCCTGAGAGAATGAAATCGCACGCTGGTCGAG